GACTTGATTGTCTATCTGAAACTTGACTGACTTTACTTGAGACCTGACTCTGGACTTGACTGTCTTTATTTGAGACTTGGCTGTGACTTGACTGTCTTTACTTGAGACTTGACTGTCTTGACTTGAGACTTGACTGTCTTGACTTGAGACTTGACTGTCTTTATTTGAGACTTGGCTGTGACTTGACTGTCTTTACTTGAGACTTGACTGTCTTGACTTGAGACTTGACTGTCTTGACTTGAGACTTGACTGTCTTTATTTGAGACTTGGCTGTGACTTGACTGATGTTACTTGAGACTTGACTCTGAACTTGGCTGTGACTTGACTGTTTTTACTTGAGACTTGACTCTGGACTTGACTTGACTATGACTTGACTCTCTTTACTTGAGACTTGACTCTGACTTGATTGTCTATCTGAGACTTGACTGACTTTACTTGAGACTTGACTCTGGACTTGACTGTCTTTACTTGAGACTTGACTCTGGACTTGACTGTCTTTACTTGAGACTTGACTCTGGACTTTGTCTTTATTTGAGACTTGACTCAGGACTTGAGAATAAAGACCTGAGAATTACTTGAGACTTGCAAAATAATGACTTGGTCCCACCTCTGGTTTCAGGTATTTTCAGATGTTTTTTTTTTGTCACTCAATCAACTAGCATTTGCCATGTGGGGGCTCGTCCGGGATCTGGACCCAAAACCTCTTGTAGCCACTAACAAAGAGGAATTTGAATCCCAGATCTTCACATTGTCTGATTTAACCCTAAATCTGTTTCATCTGATAAGCAAAGTCCACAAAAGTACTATTTTGTTGTTTTCAAAGATGTGATTTCTAGTCTCACCGGATTGTTGGGCCTAAATTTAAACTAGCAAAGAGCAACAGGTCAAATGTTCCACTGATTCAGGGGACGCTCCTTTAAAAAAGGTGATCTGATCAGTTGTGACCAATTTATTTTATGTGAACCAACACCGTGTTGAGATGTTTTGTGTAAGTCGTCATTTTACCTTGCAACAGAAGTTGCATAAAACTTTTCAAAAAACATTGAAATACACTAAAAGTAGTGCTACATGTTTGTTGAGATAAAAAGTTTTAACAGAGAAATATGCTCTTTTTATTGTTTAGCAAGGATAATTGATAAAAATACCATCCATTAAATGCATCAAACTAAATATTCCAGTAGTTTCTGGGCCATTATGGATTTTGTTTAGTTCTGTTGCAAACATGAATTGTGTCCTTTTGTTTCACATGGAAAATGAGCTTTTAGGCCTCCTCGCCTAAATGACCAGGATGTTCTCTTTCCTGGCATGAGCACTCAGAATGTAACAGTTTGGACCTTTTACGTTTGCATCCCCAACATTGTAGGAAAATGCGCAGAAATGTTGCATGGCTACAAATCACTCCTCAGACGGCGAGCAGCTACAGTCCGGCGCACCATCATAAATACTGACAGATATTATAAAATCCTCACACGACTGACTGCTGTCAGCTCGTTTCAAATCTCCACACGAATGATGCGTTGGAGCCGGGCAACCTTCAAGCTGAAGGTAACATTTCTGTTGGCAGGAAACAGCTGAGCGATCTGTGTTTGTAACGCTCGGCGTGATCGAGGTCAGCTGGAAAATGGAGGACGGCGGCTGCTCAGAAATGTTCAAAACCAGCTCCCGGACTGACGGCTTTATTCGGCGCGGCGGTACTCGGAGCACCGCGGGAGATGAGCAGTAATGAGCGAAAATATTCACTCCGGACTTCTGAGAACAACTCCTCCATCAAAGAGGGAAGAGGAGGGCAATTAATGCTTCAGCTCATTCTCACACCTCTTTCTCTAGTTGCCCCTGAGATGAGTCAGACTTTTTTTTTTTTTAAAACAAGTCCAAACTTAGAAGAACTTCCCAGACACCTGGATCAATTTGACTTACTCTCACGTAGCTTTAATTAAGGATTCACGTTCTCCTGGGTTGTTGCAGATATAAACCGAGTTAAGCATCTCTGAAGGCCGAGGACGATGATGCTTTTTGTGTGGGTGCACATGTGCGCTGCTCGGCTCCCTATGCTGTGGGAATCTGCTTCAAGGTGGAGCGCAACAAATGAAATTAATGAGAGTTAATTGGGGCAGAAACTGGCAGATGCAGGAAGGTATGACGACAACACACACACACACACACACTGCTCCCTTCTGCACCGCGGAGCAGTGTGAGCCCATGTGTGAGATGAGGCGGGGTGGGGGGGGAGTTGCCTGATTTGCAACATGATTCCTGCTGCACGCTCCCTTCCTCGTTAATACCTCCAGCATCAGCACCACTGCTAGGGTTTGTCTGTGCAAGGAGTCCAGATGTGCAGTGTTGCTACTAAGGTTTGTTTTATCTTTTAGTCGTACATAATGTAAGACAAGAAACTGCTGATTTTATTTCTTTTACTGCACCGTTTCTTGGATCACATTTAGGGTGTGTAAGACCTCATTTTGTAGTAACAACGCATTATGTAATAATGTAATAAAATCAGGCTTCAAAATGTAATAAACTCTCGCTAAAACCGTATTATGTAATAACTGACACAAAGCAAAATGTAATAAAAGTCTTCAACGCATTATGTAATAACATTATTACATTTTGTGGCAATTGTAACAAAATGTGACGGTGTAATAATTTGGTGCATTATGTAATAATCAAAAACCAGAATTTCTGTTCATCCTAATCAATATACTTGTAATAACTGTCACGTTTCAAATACTACATAATTAAATCTTTATAACTTTGGTCAATAAACACCGAACTTCTCATCTTTTATTTGCATTTTCAGTCAAATTCTTGTGTATTATTCTGAAAGTCGTTCAAGGCAGAACGATCAAGACATGAAAAACTTTTTTTTCGAACACATTGGSTTTCAGAAAAATTACAATCTATGCTTTAAAAAGCAAAAAGGTTAATGTTTTTGTTGGTATTAAATGAAAGAAACATGTGATTATAGCCTGGTAAAAGCGGAACTGCATATGAAGGCAAGGGCCAGGCTAAATATGATCCAGCAGTTTAATGCAAACTGAACAGAATCGCAACAATCTCCTGGACTTAAATAATGTGCAATATTAGAAAACCTCTTGTAATTAAAGAAGGAACACATTAAACTATATAAACAAATGTGTCTTACTCAGAGAAATGCAAATGTTTCCACTAGTTCAAGGACAAAAACATGAACTTGAAAATGTAAGGATGCAACAGAGGGTCAATATGAAAACTGAACAGGAGCAGGCGCTTCTGTGTTTAGATGTCCTGTCAAAAATGTAAGATGCAGCCTCACCTACAATTCATGTTTCAATACAACCATGTCAAGTTGTAAGGATTGTCCGTAATTTAAACGCATTGTACGTCCTTTTGCAGGATGCAGAGAGCAATCTCGCAGATTAGATATATTTTAAGAGTTGTCTACAAAGTGGAATCATTTCTGTAACAGGGATCAGGACAGTAAATCTGAAAATGCAAATAAAAGATGAGAAGTTCAGTGTTTATTGACCAAAGTTATAAAGATTTAATTATGTAATATTTGCAACATGAGTTATTACAARTATATTGATTAGGATGAACAGAAATACTGTTTTTTGATTGTTTATTAGGGGTGTAAGAAAATATCGATACACTGAAATATCGCGATATTTCATTTCCCGATACTGTATCGATTCTAAAGCCCTGTATCGATTTTTTTATTAAGGTTTAAAATGTCAACTTTCCTGCCAGCCGTTCATTTTTATGTTGTAGTTCAGCCTCTGACCACTAGTTGGCAGCAGTGAGCCAGCCATTTGGCTACTTTACCTCTTGAGGTAGAGGCTGTTGTTAAGTGTTGGGTGACCATATTGTAAATTAATATTAAAAACTAAAAGCTGCAAAAAAATACATTTTCAAACTATTTATTGGCAAAATTTAGTCCAGTAATTGAAAACATGGATGAAATAATAAATATGAAACAAATAAAATAAAATTCATACAAAGCAGAACACAGCTAAATGTATCAAAAGTATGTCTCTGTAATATTAGAATTTTCTGAGACAATGAATTTTGGTTTTTCATTTTTTTTTCCAGTAAGAGGTTTTATTTTATAGAGTTTTTTGACGCAATATATCGCGATATATCACCTTGCTTATAGTATCGCAATATATCGGGATATATCTTATTGTGACCCCTCTGTCATGATATGTATCGTATCGCCAAATTCTTGCCAATACACAGCCCTATTGTTTATTACATAATGCACCAGATTATTACACCACCCCATTTTGTAATAATTGCTGCAAAATGTAATAACTTTATTACATAATGCGTTGAAGACTTTTATTACATTTTGCGTCGATTATTACGTAATGCGGTTTTAGCGTGAGTTTATTACATTTTGAAGCCTGATTTTATTACATTATTACATAATGCGTTGTTATTACAAAATGTGGTCTTACAGGGTGACCTCCAGGGGAGGAGTCAAAGACGACAGGACTTTATTATTCAATTCAACCTGCTAGAATAAAACTTTAGAAATGAAAGGGTGTAGCATAAACACACACCTAATTAGTTTTAGTAACATATAACTGAGTTAAAAAATTTCCTAAATCATAGTTGATTAGTGTAAAATAATAGTAAAGTCTATGTAAGCTGCCTATAATGAAGTCACAATGATTTTGCTTTTTAATACAATTTATTATTCTCAATATTCCACCAAAACAGCATTTTTTAACATAAAATTATCTTAGCTAAAGCTCAGGCATGTAAGGTGCTGGGCAAGTTTGTTTTAAAGTTATAAATTGATATTTTGGTGTCATTTCTAAGTATGGATTGAATCAGTATGGCTGAGCAAAGACAGGAAATCCAGACGGCGTGAATACGAGTTACGAGACCGGAATCCCAATGTGCCTGGTTGGAGATATGAAGGGAACGAAAGAAGCTGTTTAAAAATGCAGCGGATGGCGAGGCAGCTCTCCTTCATCAGAGAACGACACAGAAACAGAGAAACCATGCTTCAAAGTCAGACTTCTGTGTGAAAGCTTCATTTCTGGCTCCAATCAGGTGAGTCAGAAACAAAACCAAAAAAAAGGCTATTCACTTTAAGTAAAAATCACCAAAATTACAATCTAATCATCTTTAATTAGGAGCAGACGGAGCAGAAATATGATTTATGATGCATCACATTTATCTTGCTCAGRGGTAAGAAATACCTTGGTATAGACTGTTGATTTCATGCCAGATGCCTGATCCTTTTAAGGAGCAGTAATGGAGTTAAAAACTACACACAAATTACGGCCTAAAAGGAGAAAAAGCCTCAAAGTTAAAAGGGAAACTTTGTGCAGTTTCGAAGGTTTTTAAGAAAACCCTACAGGGTTAGCGATAATCTGCATAAAACAGTTATTTATTTTGAATCTCCCGGATGGAGGAATTGTCCCCCAGCTGCCCGAGAGCACACGAAGGACGATTTTCAGAAGTTGTGTCCAAACACCGACGCAGCCTCGGATTTGTGCAAACCCGTTTTTGTTTGAAGTCGTTCCGAGTTGGAATAAAACACGTTCTGCGTTTCAAATCAAAGTTTCCTCTGATTTCTCTCTCTCTCTTTTTTTTATTATTGTTATTATTTTTTGCAGGAGCAAAGAAGTCACTCCCTGCATCGAGCATCCAAACGCTGCTTTGATGAGGCGAGATGCTGCATCGCCATGGAGACGGGCTGCCTGCTGCTCCCCCCTCCCACTGAATGATACGTGAATTTTAGATGGATGGAGTGTCAGGACTGCATCAACACCTCGGCGTTGTGGTGGGAACGTGACACACACACACACACATTATTTAAGCTTTTCTTCCTCTCCTCTGATGAGCCGTGCCATATGTCCCGACCCTCTGGTGCTGTCGGCGTGCTCATGAGCATCTCCTCCTCACACATGAGCGTAATCCGGAGCAGCTCATGTTCCCCGCGAGTACAGCAGGACCCAGTTTTCTCCCTGTGCTTGTGTGTGTGTGTGTTTGATGGGGGGATTTATACCAGGTGACCATATTAATTACCCGCTCCCACTGTTTAACAGAAGGTGTAAAAAAAAAACTAAAAAATGATGCAGATTACACCCCAGAAACGAGAGAAAAACATCTGTTTGTTAACGTCCCCTCCCTCTGACGGCGCTGCTGAAGCGGCAGATCGYTCCAACAGTTGTGAATCTTTAACGCTCGTCCTTATTTTCGCTGCCTTTGAAGTCGGACCGAGGGGATTTCTCCACTCCATTTCAGTCTCTGATGTGTGGGGATGGCAGAGTACATGCTCTCCGTTCCTCCTCCTCCTTTTTTCCCCCCTTTTTCTACTCTGCTGCTTTCGTTCTTTCTGCAGCACTGAGCACTAATGCTGATGATGTAAAAGGAGGGGAAAATATCCTGGAAACCTCGACGAGAAGAAATTCCTTCTGGTCAAAGAGAAAATGGAAGCCTAATGAGGACATAGACCATTAAAAACTCATCATTAAGAGCTTATTACAAAATATTATTATCTAATTAAGCAGCTGAGATGGTCTTGGTACATTTCCTCCACCTCAAAAATTAGATTTTTCTACACTTTTGAATTTCCAGTTTAAATGATTTTTGTTTGCCCTTAATTGCAAACCCCCAAACAGTGTCTTACAGTACATATTATGTTTTTACTTCACAATTAATTTGAAACAGTGCACATTTTTCCTTCATTTGCAGCTTTTCCAAAGTTTTTCTTCATGGTAAAATCAATACAACCAATAAAACATGTTAACACAATAAAATAAATCAACAAAACTAACTAACCTTAAAAGTAACCAACTCATTTCCAGATTCTGTCGTAGCACCTGCATTTCATTAGTAATCAGCACACCTGTTATTACTCATTAATCAGCCTTTCATAACTCACTTTCCACCAAACAAAAACCATAAGAGCTGCATCTTTTGGTTAATACAGCTCTTCTAATATTAGANAGATTGTTCTGTCCATTATCTGATTAAGAGAACTGAGGGGTTCTCTTCCACGGTTAGAATGACCTGTCATGGCCTAAATAGAGTTCAGTTTGTGACAGAGTTCCTGTCCTCTCGTCAGGCCTGTCCGAGGCCTGCTTCGAGGCAGTAAATCTTGTTTCTTTACTCGAGGTGACCCCTACAGCACGTTGCTACAGTGTGCGGTGCGTGTATAAAAAAGGCACTGACTGAGACTTTGTGACTGAAATAAGACAGACTGAACGTCCCTCTCTGCAGAACCACGGCATCGATTACGGAGACGTGTCCCAGAGGATCGCGCTGAGAAAGAGTCTGCAGTGCCGGAGCTTTCAGTGGTACCTGGATAATGTTTACCCAGAGATGAGGAGGTACAACAACACGCTGTACTACGGCGAGGTGAGTCACCGGCCCCGCTCAGCCGAAACCACAAACAGACCGGAGGGCGAAGCTCATACAGCCGAACTTCGGTGCTTTAACAGAGAAATATGGAATTAATCAGACGAGACGAGAAGCAGGAGATAAATGGTTTCAAAACCACACAAACCGTAAAACAAGACCAGAGAAATTACTCTGAGCTGTGAGTATGAGCACTGCTGAAGGAGCTGAAATGAGCTACGCTAGCTAAAAGCTAAAAAGCAGCACATTTAAGAGCCAAAGTAGGTATTACCTAAAACTAGCAGAATTGTAGTTAAAAGCAACAAAAGATTATCTAAAAAAAAAGGCTAAAGATTGGTTATATCTTTAATAATAAAAAAGGTAGCTAACAGCTAACATTAACAAAATGCTAGCTAAAAGTAGCAAAAGGCTATCCAACAGCAAAACATAATAAAAGATATAGAAGCGACTTCCATCTCCAGTTAGTAGATGGAAATGGAGATGTTGGCTGTTAGGTAAATGTAGCAAAAGCCTAGCTAAAATTTTATGAAAGCTAAACTTTAGCTAAAAGCTAATTGTATTAAAATTGCTTGCTAAAAATAGCAGAGAGGTGGCTAAAAATACAAAACTTAAGCTATATCTTCATATATACAAAAGGTTAGCTAAGAGCTAACGGTAACAAAATGCTAGCTAAAAATAGCAAAAGACTATCCAACAGCAAAACATGTAAAAAAAGTTAGCTAAAATGTAAAAAGATAGTTAGAAGCTATCTCCATCTCCACTTAGAAGCTGGAAATGGAGATGTTGGCTGTTAGGTAAATGTAGCAAAAGCCTAGCTAAAAGCTAATAAAAGCTAAAGTCTAGCAAAAAGCTAATTGTATTAAAATGACTCACTAAAAATAGCAGAAGTGTAGCTAAAATTTAGAAAAAAAGAAGAGAACGGCAGAGCCACTTTGTGAAATTGGCAAGATTTTTTTCTCCAAGGGGAAATACTTCAAAATAAAGTTCAATATTTCATAAAACTTAACAGTTACAAAACTAAAAGCCCCAGCGCACAACGAGCTGCACATTTTGATAGCAGCTAAAATAGCAAATAGTTTGCAGAAGGAATAAAATTGTTGATTATAGATTAGAATAGAATAGAATAGAATAGAATAGAATAGAATAGAATAGAATAGAATAGAATAGAATAGAATAGCCTTTATTGTCCCGCTGAGGGGAAATTCAGGTGTCACAACAGCATCTGTACAGAAGTTCACATGCTAGTTCCTTTACAAACTATAGACAATGCACAAAAAACGAAATTACCACTAGACTAGCAATGATACGACTACCAATAATAAAAATATAATATAAAGGATAGGTTTTGTTTTAGAGACAGTATTTATAGTTTGGGTTCTTATTTTGCTTTTATAGTTCAGTTTGGTTTGGTGGCAGTGTTTGTTTATTTGGATTGACACTTTGACCTATATTTTTGCTCTACCACTGGTGGCGGTGTGGAGGGGAAATYTATATAGGTGGCAAGGTGAGAAGGAAAGGTGGAGGGTGTAGGGAGGTTACACGGTTTTTACCGCTCTCTGTTAAAATGCTGGTTAACCTCTCTCATTTTCACATTTTACCATAATTTTCCATCTATTTTGCAAGCTGCCATAGACTGCCATTCTGGACTTTGTAATATTTAATAATCAAAAATAATATAATAAATGGAAGTATCCCCAAACATATCTCCCAGTCTGGACATTATACTCATTGGAGCGCGTCAAATGCCTGGATTCTCCCGCACCCAGCAGCGACTAAAAGGTTGGATTTGATAGTCACTATAGTATTTATCTATCAGAGTTTGACATTAGTAATTAGAATTAGCCTTTTTTCAGTGCAAACAATCACAACAGACTATTAACTGTAGAGTATCAGTGCAGACAAACACAGATGTGCAATTACAGCAGGATTATTTTAAAAGTTTAAAATGGATAGTAACAGAGCAGCTGATTGCTCAGATTAGTAATAATATAAGTGAGTAGTAGTGAAAATGATTGTTCAGATGAGTAGGACAAGGAACAGTAACAGTACAAATGATTGTGCAGCAGCAGGTGTGTGAATGCTTATTGTGATTTTTGTAAACACATTATGACTTTTCGATGTGGTGCTGGTTATAGAGTCTGACAGCTGCAGGGAGGAAGGATCTGTGATAACGCTCTTTTGTGCACCTCGGATGCAGCAGTCTGTGGCTGAAGGAGCTCTCCAGTTCAGCCACAGCTTCATGCATGGGATGGGAGACATTGTTCATCAAGGATGTTATTTTAGTCAGAGTTTTTCTGTCTCCCACCACCTGCACTGTGTCGAGGGGGCATCCCAGCACAGAGCTGGCCTAAACTATTCACTCCATCTTTATATTTTACTAATGTTTACAATCCAACAAGCAGCTTATAAACAGCTTATAAGCACATCACAGACTGGAGATAAATCATGATTCGAGGCATAAATGTTCCAAGTTGAGGTGAAAAATTGTTGAAACGGTAACAGAGCCACTTTCTGCAGCATCTTCAACATTTAATTGTTACCCAGACACTCTCCTGACCTGTCAGGTTTGACCTGAGGCAAACATGTTTTGTTTAAGGAAACTYGCTCAGTTTAGACTCAAACCTGAGTCTGTTACAAAATCGAGGCAGTTTGCATCAAACCACACATCTCTCCCTCTCTTCCTGATGGACTCCTCTGGTTCTAAACACTTATATATAYATATATATACAAACCCCAAAAACAGAAAAGTTGKYACGTTGTGTWAATCGTAAATAAAAACAGAATACAATGACTTGCAAATCATTTTCAACCTATATTCAATTGAACACACTGCAAAGACCACATACCTAACGTTCGAACTGGTAAACTTTGTAATTTTTTGCAAATATTAGCTCATTTGGAATTTGATG